CTTAGCCGCTTGAGCCACAGGTGCCAAGCTGCTTTAGGTTCTTAACAGCCTCTCACCGTAGTGAGAAGAACAGCCAAGTCCTTTCCATGACCCCCTGTCCTGCTCACACATACCCCTCTCTCTCTGTGCCTACTCTCTGCCAGCCACACCTCTGTCCTTGTAGTTCGCCTAACATATAGCCATCTCAAGGCACATGGCTGTTCTCTATGTTTGTAAGTTTAAATTTCCTGGCCAGATAATCATATTTTAAAATTTCTTTTCTTTTTTTTTGAGACAGAGTGTCATTTTGTCACCCTCAGTAGAGTCCTGTGGAGTCACTATAGCTAAGAGTAACCTCGAACTCTTAGGCTCAAGCAATTTTCTTGCCTCAGCCTCCAGAGCACCTGGGACTACACCTGCCTGTTGCAGTGCCTAGCTACTTTTTAGAGAGTGGGTCTCGCTCTTGCTCAGGCTGGTCTTAAACTCATGAACTCAGCAATCCATTGGCCTTGTCCTCCTAGCACTTAAAAAAAATTTTAAATTAAATTTTTTTTTTTTTTTTTTTACCAAAACAATGTCCAGTGATACAGAGGAGAGAAAAATGGTTACTTTATGTCAATTTACAGTGGCCCAATATTATTTTATCTTGTGCATATAATTGCTTGTATCATTGTGAAATTATAGCATCAAGTAATGGGAAGGTTTTGTGTTTTAATATATTTTTCTGAGACAGAGTCTCAGTATGTCACCCTTGGTAGAGTGCTGTGGCATCACAACTCACAGCAACCTCAATCTCTTGGGCTTAAGCAATTCTCTTGCCTCAGCTTCCCAAGTAGCTGGGACTATAGGTGCCTGCTTCAACGCCTGGCTATTTTTTTGTTGCAGTTGTTTAGCTGGCCTGGGCTGGGTTCGAACCTGCCACCCTTGGTGTATGTGGCTGGTGCCGTAACTACTGTGCTATAGGAGCTGAGCCTATTTATTTATTTTTTAATAGACAAGGTCTTACTGTGTTGCCCAGGCTGGGGAGCAGTGCCCCAAACATAGCTCATTACAGCCTAGAACTCCTGGGCTGAAAAGATCAGCTGGGACTACAGGTGTGAACCTGGCCTGACTTGGCCCAGGTGTTCTAATGTGCTCCTTCTTTCCTTGAGAATTCAGGTCTCAGCGGGAGAGGTGGCTCACAGCTGTAATCCTAGCACTCTGAGAGGCAGAGGCTGGTGGATCTCCTGAGCTCAGGAGTTCGAGACCTACTTGACCCTGCATCTACTAAAAAGTAGAAAAATTAGCTCAGCATTGTGGCAGGTGCCTGTGGTCCCAGCTGCTTGGGAAGCTGAGGCATAAAGATCCCTTGAGCCTAAGAGTATGAGGTTGCTACGGCCCTCTACCCAGGGTGACAGTGAGATTCTGTCTCAAAAACAAACAACATATCCAAGTCTCTTCGGAAGGTCACCTTCCCAGATTACCCTGTCACAAGTAAGCAGCTCACCTATCTCTATCTGTTCTCTTATCCACCTTTCCTTTTTTTCAGTGCGTTCATCAATATAAACCAGAACCAGCATTCCATGAAAGAGGGGCTGTTTCTGTCCTAGTCCCTGCAGTATTCACTGAGGCTACAAAATTACATAGAAAGCAATCAGTAACTATGCTAACTTTGGATTGTTAGATGCTAAGCTTTTAGAAGGTAGTAAATTATCTTTTCCTCTTTGTGTCCTCATCACCAGCTTGGTCCCCAACACTTAGGAGAAGCTTAATAATTTCTTTAAAAAAGTTCTGTATGCGTGAACAAAGAAGGAACTCTGACGGACAGAAGGTGAGGTTGCATGCAGAGAGGGTGCAGTTGCGTGTGGGTAGTTCGAGAAAAAAGCAACTCATTTGCATTCGTGAGTAGGAAATTATTTTCTAGTTTAAAAATAGTTGATACACATATACACAGCTGGATGGCGCTTCCCACTCTAGAATAGTCATAACCAAATGAAGCTGCCACAAAGTTAGCCCAAACAATTACGAGTATCTAATAAGCTGCAGTTTACATTTTATTCCCATACTTATTTCTTTTAAATAATAGACATATATCTAAATATTATAAGGATAAAGAAAATAATGGTTTCTTTTTAGTAGAGCATTATTTTTTTTAGGTTCTAAGTCCTGGTCAATCTTCTAAGCAACGAGCTTACGAATTTAGAACAATTTTTTTTTCTTTTCAGAGATAGAGTCTCACTTTGTCCCTCTTGGTAGAGTGCTGTGACGTCACAGCTCACAGCAACAACCTTCAGCTCTTGGGCTTAGGTGATTCTCTTGCTTCAGCCTCCCAAGTAGCTGGGACTACAGGTGCCCACCGCAACGCCCGGCTATTTTTTGTTGCAGTTTGTCCAGGACCAGGTTCGGACCCGCCACCTTCAGTATGTGGGGCCGGCGCCCTACCCACTGAGCCACAGACGCTGCCGGAATTTAGAACAATTTAGTAAACCTCTCACTGCAGACAAAGATAATGTTGGATTTTGTCTACATCTAAGTCCCTCCAGTAAACATAATTCCAGGCTTTGAAGTAATCGAATTTCCTGTATCCAGTGATTTAAAAAACAGCATTTGACCAAGTTTGTATTGTTTTTAATACTTTGAGCATCAGTTGATTATACTCTGGCTTAACTTCATAAATTAGTTTGGATTGGAGAAGGATATTACACAAACTACTTGGAATTTTCCATGGTCAGCTTAACTTGCAGAAATGTAAATACAGGCAGTGAGGACATCAACCGATTGCCGGGCACAACCTACCCTGAAACAACTGTGTACACATAACAGCCTCAACAGCTTCTAAACCACAGGCCAGTGAACACCTTGCTCTCCTTAGCCCTTTACAATTTCCTGGGCTCCCTCATTAACAAGAAGACAGGTGAGGTGGTGGGTGGGGCCGGGGCAGGGCCAACCGGGGCAGGGCTAAGGTGAGAGCTTCCTAGAGAGACTGTTTCTTCCAGGCCAGGAAGCAGCTGCTGTCCCCACTCACTTGTGCTCCTGTTTTCTGAATTAGGCCCCCGTGTACAACTGTGCCAGCCAAATATTACTGCCTCGTTTGTGTGATGGAATCGTTTAAAAATAAAGAGGCTACCCACGTGTCTGTTGGTTCCCCTGTTGGTGTTATGCTCATCAGAATTCCAACATCAGCAGAACCATCAATTGACAGGGTCCCCACGTCTGGTCTCCACCTCCTGCTAGAACCCCTTTTTGCTGCCAGCTGCCTACCTTCCCAGAATCGTCCTCATCCTCCCATTTCCTTCCCTTTCTCTGCAAACAAGCAAACAGACTTTCCCCCAGGACCTCTGCTCTGCCTGTGCTCTGTCTCTGGTATATGGCTGATGGAGGTTCCAGAATTACTGCTGTAGGATGAGTTACCTGGTGGCTGCTTTTTTATACCTTGGGGTCAAGACAGGCGGCTTAATTTCCTTGTCAGAGTTAATCATCTGGTAGAAGTGCTGCCCAGGGTTGGTAGCTGTCTCTGCTTTCTTCCTGGCACTGATCCCCACTTATGTCTCCATGCCCCTGAGCTGTGCGCTTGGAAGGGCCTCCTGCATCTCAGGCAGCCTTCTCCACCTCACACGCCTTCAGGATGCCAAATGGTTATAGTGAGAAAGGTTAAGTTCGAAACACAGCTGGTTCTTACAGGTGAGACAACTGAAATCGAGATAACTGGGAATGAAGGCATTTGTTGTAAGGGGGAGGGCTGTTAACCTCTTTATACTCTTTACATGTTATGTTTACAAAACTTTGACATTCTTGCTTTCTGCACACACAGGCTTCTTGTGGAATTCTTCAGACTCTTTGAAATGTGTCTTTTTCAATGTAATCGTTTTGTTTTTTCACTTTTTTTTGATAAGTTTTTCAATACCTAAATTTCAGAGCTGTTTTTAAATGTGGAAGGACTCAAAATGGGTACTAATTGGGAACTCTTTTTTTCCATCAGTTTTAAAACTGGGAAAGTTGCTATGTGAGCAGATTGGAAATGTAAAAATTTTAAAATTGGCAGTAATAAAAAATAGAGCATGATAAACAATAACTTGGAACTCACTTGATTAAGTGATAGACTGCACCTGAAAAGTTTTTTTTTTTTTGAGACAGAATCGTACTGTGGCGTCACAGCTCACAGCAACCTCAAACTCTTGGGTTTAAGCGATTCTCTTGCCTCAGCCTCCCAAGTAGCTGTGACTACAGGCACCCGTCACAATGCCTGGCTATTTTTTGTTGCAGTTGTCGTTGTTTAGCTGCCCTGGGTTCGAACCCACCAGCTTTGGTGTATGTGACTGGTGCCATAACCATTCTGCTACTGGTGCTGATCAGTGAAAATGTTTTACAGAAACTGTTTTTCATTAAAATAATTTACCATAGGCTCAGCGCCTGCCTGTAGCTCAGCCGCTAGGGCACCAGCCACATACACCGGAGCTGGCGGGTTCAAACCCAGCCTGGGCCCACCTAACAACAATGAGAACTACAACCAAAAAATAGCCAGGTGTTGTGGGGGGTGCCTTAGTCCCAGCTATGTGGGAGGCTGAGGCAAGAGTATCGCTAAGCCCAAGAGTTTGAGGTTGCTATGAGCTGTGACGCCATGGCACTCTACCAAGGGCAATATAGTGAGACTCTGTCTCAAAATAAAAACAAACATTTACCATAATTACTATACCCTTAATACCCTATTGTTTCCATAAAGTACTAATAGAGATCAATAACATTGCTCACCTTTTATCATTTATTTTCAGCACTATAAAATCATGGGCGTATATCCAGTTATCAAAAAATTACAGTGACGTTTTTATGTGTACTTCATATCTCAATAGTAGAATTTTCAAACATGATTTTAGATCAGCTACTTTTTAAAACCCCCCAAATAATCACATTCAATTCTTTACTGAGGGGCAGCGCCTTTGGCTCAGTAAGTAGGGTGCCAGCCCCATATACCAAGGGTGGCAGGTTCAAACCTGGCCCTGGCCAAACTGCAACAATAACCACCAAAAAAAACAGCCAGGCATTGTGGTGGGCGCCTATAGTCCCAGCTACTTGGGAGGCTGAGGCAAGAGAATCTCCTAAGCCCAAGAGCTGGAGGTTGCTGTGAGCTGTGATGCTACGGCACTCTACTAAGGGCGACAAATTAAAAAAGAAAAAATTGTGTCTGTCTCTAATTAAACAAGAAAAAATTCTTTATTGAGAATGAGCATATAACAAGTTTTTTGGGGTGAGAGATGGCAACACCATTCATCTTAAACATTACCTAGCTTTTGACTCTGGAAAAACATTAAATGTAATCTCTCATGGTAGAAAAAATAAATTTCGGAATTTTCAGAGCCAAAATGAAACTACTTTAGATCTTTGGCAGTCAAAGTGGCTAAATACCCAGGTGAAACTCAGTAAAGAATCCGCCGCTCAGAGGTCTGAACTGAATATATAATAATTTGGATATTTCTTCTCCCCAGTGATACAGGAACAACACCTCCAGAGAGTGGTATTTTTGGATTTATGATAAACTTCTCTGCATTTCTTGGTAAGTACACAGTGATCATAAATTAATGAAAAATTCAATCCCAAGTGAAGTCCGATGTGTTATTGACAGCTTGTGTTTAAGTTTTCAAAACTACAACCTTTGCAGCTAGAATTTTGAAAAACTAAAGTGACCAGAAGTCCAATATTACTTAGGCCTTTATTATAAAACTTTATTTTATGTGGTATTTTATTTTTTGTCATAGGATTTGCTGTAGGTGGTTGTAAGTACCAAAGTTCTGAAATTGATTGTAAATGTAATTTGGTTCTTAAAAATCGTGATTTTTAAAAAAAGTCTGCGCCTGGTGGCTCAGGCCTGTGACCGAGCACTCTTGGAGGCTGAGGCCGGTGGGTTGCCTGAGCTCACGAGTTCAAGATCAGCCTGAGAAAGAGCGAGACCCCATCTCTAAAAATAACTGGGCATTGTGGTGGGCACTATAGTCCCAGCTACTGGGGAAGCTGAGGCAAGAGGATCACTGGAACCAGGTTGCTGTATGATGCCGTGGCACTACCCAGGATGACAGTGAGACTGTCTCAAAATGAAAAGAGTAATGTGATTAATATCCAAGATACTGTAGACAAAGACAGCTGGTGTATAAGGTAATGTTTCTCACAGTATGTTGTGAAGGCGACTTGGTGAACATCACCTGAGGTAGTGGGTAAAACACGAGTTCCTGGGCTACACTACAGATCTGTGTGACCAGAGCCTTCAGGAGTGGGGTCCAAAAATACGTTGTTAACAAGCACCGTAGGGCACGGGGATGCTCACTGAAGTTTGAGAACCACCCACAAAGGCATCATCTTACCTGATAGAGAAAAGGGGAAAGTGAATAATTTGTCTGCAACTCCAGTATGACTTTTCCTTTCATTTCCTCAGATGTACCCGAGATGCAGCTGGCAGGATACAACTCTGTCATCTGCCTGTTCATGTCATGCATGTTAATGGCACCTGTTTCACAGGGATTTTTTTAAGTTTGTACATGTTCAATTCCCAATATTTTCTTTTTCTTTTATTTTAAAAAAAGTTTTTATTATCTACTTATTTTTATTAATTTATTTTTTGAGACAGAGTTTTACTTTGTCACCCTTGGTAGAATGCTATGGCATCACCGCTCACAGCAACCTCAAACTCTTGGGTTCAAGCCATTCTCTTGCCTCAGCCTCCCAAGTAGCTGGGACTACATGTGCCTGCCACAACTCTCAGCTATTTTTTAGAGATGAGTCTAGCTCTAGCTCAGGCTGGTGTTGAACCAGTGAGCTCAAGCACTCCACCTGCCTGGGAGCTGGGATTACAGGCATGAGCCATCTCACCTGGCCTATTTATTTGTTTTTCAGACAGAGTCTCACTCGGGTTACCCTCAGTAGAGTGCTGTGGCATCTTAGCTCATAGCAACCTCAGTCTCTTGGGCTCAAGCAATCTTTTTGCCTCAGCCTCTCAAGTAGCTGGGACTACAGGTCTCAGCTATAGGTGCCTGCCACAACTCTCAGCCATTTTTTTAGAGAAAAAAAAATTTTTTTTTGCAGTTTTTGGCCAGGGTCGGGTTTGAACCTGCCACCTCTGGCATATGGGGCCGGCGCCCTACTCCTTTGAGCCACAGGTGCTGCCCCCCTCCCCCCATCTTTTTTTGAGACAGAGTCTTACTCTGTTACTCTGAGTAGAGTGCTATGGCATCATAGCTCACAGCAACCTCAAACCCTTGGACTTGAGCAATCCTCTTGCCTCAGCCTCCCCAGTAGCTGAAACTACAGGCGTCTGGCACAGTGCCTGGCTAGTTTTTTATTTTTAGTAGAGATAGAGTCTCACCTTTTTTTTTTTTCTTTTGTCGAGACAGAGTTCTACCCTGTGCCCTGAGCAGAGTGCAATGGTGTCATAGCTCACTGCAACCTCAGACTTTGGCTGTGGGCATCCTGCTGCCTCAGCCTCTGAGGCCACTGGGATTACAGGCACTCATCAAAGTGTCTGCCTGGGTTTTTCCATCTTTCTCATGAGTCGGGGTCTCACTCTCGCTCAGACAAGCCTTGAACTCCTGAGTGCAAGCAATCCTCCCGCCTCAGTCTCCCACAGTGCTGGGATTACAGGTGTGAGCCACCGTGCCTGGTCAGAATCTCACTTTTGCTCAGGCAAGTCTCAAACTCCTGAGCTCAAGCTATCTCCCCACCTTGGCCTCCCAGAGTGCTAGCGTTACTCTGGCCCTGTTTTACAGTTGTTGTAAAGTGCAGTCTCCTATGGGGTGAACTAAGTGTCTAAATGTCATCTTGTAGGGCTCTTTCCCTTAGTCCTTCCATGGTCCCCCGTCCTATGGAACAATCAAGTATTTGCCAAGGGCCTTTCTGTTCCTCCTGGATGGTCCAGGGTGGGAAGGGCTGGAAACCCTACTTACCCTGCTGGGCATCTTTAGAAGTTTAGCTCATCCTACTTGGTAGAGAGAAAAGTTTTTATCTTTTCACCATTTGTGGTTCTCTCCTCCTGAGATTTTGGAAATGAGCAAAGAGAAGTAGCAATATGGGCCAGTCAATCCCAGTGCCCGCTTACTGGGAGGCCGAGGCAGGTGGCTTGCCAGAGACATCTTTGCCAACAGTCCCAACTTGGAAGACAGACTATTTTATCACTAGCAAGTAATAAAATATGGCTTTTTGCTTCTAAACAGGGCAAAAGCTGACATGAATATATTCATCTGAAATAGTCATGATAAATCATTCGTTTTCCATCTGCTTTTAAAAATTCTGTAAGATGGGCAGCGCCTGTGGCTCAGTGGGTAGGGTGCTGGCCCCATATACCAAGGGTGGTAGGTTCAAACCTGGTCCTGGCCAAACTGCAACAACAACAACAAAAATAACCAGGCATTGTGGCGGGCACCTGTAGTCCTAGCTACTTGGGAGGCTGAGGCAAGAGAATTGTCTAAGCCCTAGAGCTAGAGGTTGCTGTGAGCTGTGATGCCATGGCACTCTACCAAGGGCAAGAGATTGAGACTCTGTCTCTAAAAAAAATAAAAACAAGGCCAGCCCCTGTGGCTCAAAGGAGTAAGGCGCCAGCCCCATACACTGGAGGTGGCGGGGTTGAACCTAGCCCTGGCCAAAAAAATAATAATAATAAATAAAATAAAAATAGAAATTCTGTAAAATATTATGCCCGCCACACTATGCCAGTGCCCACAAGTCTACCTTATCCTTTCAATACATGCAAGATTTCCATCATAGGGATGGATTGTAATTTATTTAGTCGGTTCTGTATTGTCAAACTATTTTTGATATTTTGCTGTTACAATGTTGAAGTGAATACATACTTTTTTTTAGGGGGGGCAGAGTTTCACTTTGTTGTAGCAACCTCAACTTTTGGGCTCAAGGGATCCTCTTGCCTCAGCCTCCCAAGTAGCTGGGACTAGAAGCACATGCCACAATGCCTGGCTATTTTTAGAGACAGGGTCTCACTCTGGCTCAAGCTGGTCTCAAACCTGTGAACCTCATAGAAGACACCCACCTCGGCCCCAGAGTACTAGGATTACAGGCACGAGTCACTGTGCCTGGCCTCTACTTTACATATTTATGTGAATTTTTCTTTTTCCTTTTTTTTTTTTGAGACAGTCGCACTTTGTCACCCTCAGTAGAGTGCTATGGCATCTCAGCTCACAGTAACCTTCAGCTCTTGGGCTTAGACTATTCTCTCACTTCAGCCTCCTGAGTAGCTGGGAGCACAGGCGCCTGCCATAACACCTGGCTATTTTTTTGTTGCAGTTTGGCTGGGGCTGGATTCGAAACCACCACCCTCGGGGCTGGTGCCCTACCCACTGACCCACAGGTGCCGCCTGGGCTTAAGCAATTTTCTTGCCTCAGCCTTCCAAGTAGCTGGGACTACAGGTGCCTTCCACAATGCCCAGCTACTCTGTCACCCACGGTAGAGTGCCCTGACAGCTTAACTCCCAGTGATCTCAAACTCTTGGGCTCAAGAGATTCTCTTGGCTCAGACTCCCAAGTAGCTGGGACTACAGGCGCCACCACAGTGCCCGGCTATTTTTTGGAAACGGGGGTCTCCCTCTGGCTTAGGCTGGTCTCAAACTCATGAGCTCTGGCAAGCCACCTGCCTCAGCCTCCCAACTTGCTAGGATTACAGGTATCAGCCACCACACCTGGCCTTAAAAAATTAAAACTTCTAAATGACAAAAGATACAAAAGGCAAAGTTAAAAGACAGCAGACTAAAAGAAAATTTGCGATGTTTATAGCAGACAATAGACTAGTAGATGTAAAGTGTAAAAAGCAACTACAAATTAGAAATGAATAGACAGAACTAAGAGAAAAAAGTTATAAATATGCAAGTTCTTAGAAAAAATGCAAATGACCGGTGGCTGTACTGAGAGTGGCTAAAATGTCCCTGAAGATGGGGAAATGCAAATTAAACCAGCAGGATGCCATTTCTTCTTCTTCTTCTTTTTTTTTTAAGACAGAGCCTCACTTTGTCACCCTGGGTAGAATGCTGTGGTGTCACAGCTCACAGCAACATCAAACTCTTGGGCTCAAGTGATCCTCTTGCCTCAGCCTCACAAGTAGCTGGGACTACAGGCACCGCCATAACTCCTGGCTATTTTTTTTTTTTTTCAGTTTTTGGCCGGGGCTGGGTTTGAACCCACCACCTCCAGCATATGGGGCCAGTGCCCTATTCCTTTGAGCCACAGACACTGCTGACTATTTTTTTTTAACTGAAAAAGCGGGTATATAATTAGAGCGCAAGATCACCCTCAGCTTTCTTATGAGTGTCATGGGTACCTTTAAGTGAAAACAAAGACATTGAGGACAGGGGTTCGCTGTTCGCCTGGCTATTTTTAGCAATGAGGTCTTGCTCTGGCTCAGGCTGGTCTCGAATCTGTGAGCTCAGGCAGTCCACTTGGCCTTCCAAGTGCTAGGATTACAGGTGTGAACCACCTTGCCTGGCTCCTATTTTTCATTCTTTAGACTGACAATAATTAAAAAGGTAAGGGCTTCTGGGCATGGTAGCTCAGGCCTGTAATCCTAGCACTTTGGGAACCCAAGGCAGGTGGATTGCTTGAGCTCAGGAGTTTAAGACCAGCCTGAGCAAGAGTGAGACCCTGTCTCTACTAAAAATAGAAAAATTAGCTAGGCATCATGGCAGGTGCCTATTGTCCCAGCTACTTGGAAGGCTGAGGCAAGAGGATCACTTGAGCCCAAGAGTTTGAGGTTGCTGTAACACCATGGCACTCTACCCAAGGTGACAGAGGGAGACCCTGTTTCAGAAAATGAATAAACTTGGTGGCACATCTAGCTCAGTGGGTAGGGTGCCAGACACATCCACCCAGGCTAGCGGGTTTAAACCTGGCCCAGGCCACTTAACAATAATGACAACTACAACAACAACAAAAAAGTAGTTGGGCATTGTGGTGGGCACCTATAGTCCCAGCTACTTGGGAGGCTTAGGCAAGAGAATCGCTTAAGCCCAAGAATTTGAGGTTGCTGTGAGCACTCTACTGAGGGCGACATAGTAAGACTGTCTCAAGAAAAAAAATAGGTGGTCCCTATGGCTCAATGAGTAGGGTACCAGCCCCATATACCGGAGGTGGCAGGTTCAAACCTGGCCCCAGCTGAAAACTGCAAAAAA